TACGATTGTTGCTAAATATAAAATCATTAGCACTAAAATGTGCACTACAAACTTTCTTCCAATTTGGTATTGATGTTAAATTAAGTGCATTAAGCCACACAGTTTTTTTAGATATATCTTTTGGAAAACTAAAAATAATGTATTGTAATTACTTATTATGTTCACTAAAAATATGTAGGTAGTTAGGTATACTATATGCATACTTACAAATGAAAAGAAACGTTTTTATTATTGTTGCTGGTATTGCAGCACACACAACAAACTTGCACCATTGTTCAATGTGGCAATTTAAATAAAAAATAATCCAACTTGAAACTATACAAGAAATTGAAAAATATAGGTACTAGTTACAAGTTACAGCAAATTTCAAAAGTAATTTTCAGTTTATTTTATTATCTAAGGATGTTATCTATTTCAATTTTTATATTTGAACATAACCTCACAAAGTCGCCAAGTGCGGGAGTGAGAAACTGCCTTCTCTCTCTTACTTAAAAGACCGCGACCACTTGCGTTGTATGATTTAACATGGCCTATCCATTCTTCTATTATCTATGACCACGCATATGGCGTTCGGCTTCTTAATCATAGTGCGTCAGATATAATCAGTTAGCTATCTAGTTATTGTATATATCTGTGGTTTTAACACAAACGGGATCAAATACATAGATCTTATACTTAGTATGAGGTTTATGATCAAATCTTAGATAATAATATGCTACAGCGTACTAAATCAATATAAAAAAAAGGTGGGCAACTGGCAAAGTGGGTGCTGCTCCGCTGTACATTAGGTTACAAGTGGGTCACTGTAATGGATGGTGTTACATTTGAATACAATGATAATATGATATATTATTATTTACTAAATATATTTGATGATGTTATTGTGAATAAAGTAAATTTTAACTTATTTGCTTGGAATCTTGTTTTAAATTTTCAATCCTTAGTACCTACCTAATAAAAGTTGAATATTTTATACATTTTTAACTACGAAATTATTTTTAAATTTTAAATTTGATGATTTTTTTTGATTTTTTTTTAACTTTAAATGCTTATAAAAAAATATGTGCTTATGTATTTTTAATATTTTTCAGCTGCTATTGTAACAAAATATCAGGGGCCTTGTAGTAAATTTTCACGCTTTTTACCTAAGAAAAGGTTACCGCGTTTCCTTAATTTTTGCTTTGTTTTTCTCTGAGCTTTTGAAAACTATTGAGAATTTTAAACTTGGTTTCCAGAATGCACTAGGTAACTATAGATTCACTTTCCCATCGAACTCTATACTGTTGAAGAAAATCGAAGCAGTGTCACTGCCCCAAACTGTGATGACAGACACAAAAATAAAATAAAAACACATATCATTGTAAAATCAATACATTATCAATTATCATCGCTCAGCTCAGAATCTAAAATGTTGTCGATATCAGCGACGAGTCGCCGTGTTACTATAATAATATATTAACTACGAACTAAGATTTAGAATAATTCTGTAATAGTAACCTATGGATAATTATGCGAGGAGTTGCATCGCCCATGCGCACATCGATCACCTAATTCTGAGACTCATCGCTAATGTCGCCAACAAAATAATACGCTGTGGCGATATCCATACTCCATAGTAGGATGATGTAAGGATCAAATAACATATTATGGCGGTCTATTTATTTATATCTAACAATAACACTGAATTATAAATTATAATAACATAAAATTCCTCAGGCTCATTAAAAAAAAACCTACACACCACAGTATGTTAATGAAAATTAAAAACATGCTTGAAAAAAAAAATATTCTAGCTTTGGTACCTACTTTTTATAAACTATAAATAATAAAAATAAAATCATCCCGGTCAAACTCATCTTTGTCACTAGCTATCCTTGGCCAATTCTTATTTTATTAGGGGTTCTATCTATTTTTAACTTAAATCTATTGTAAAATTCTAAAGTACAACGTCACGGGACTCACCCACTTAATAAATGTTTACTATACGAGATAGTCGAGATATATAAGAGTCTGTGTTCTCTACAGTACCTACCCTACGACGGAAATGAGGGAGGGGGTCTCAGTCCCCACTTATATCGATGTTAAAATGTTAGCCCCCCCCCCCGCAATTTTAATGGATTTCCGTCTACGTAACCCGCCTAATAGCTATAATATTATAATAGATGGTACCTTTATGGCTGTATACCATTTGAGTACGCCACTGACTGAGCCTATATTTAATATCAATATCATCGTAATAGTGTTGTGTCATCGTATTCTATAGTAGATAATGATACGAACGATTTAACGAACCAGCCGACTGAACATTACACAAAAATCACGTATGGGGTTGAAGTTGCCTAAGCAACACCGATAAACATATTTACCGATTGGGACGATCGTTTGAATTCCGGAAGGCGCAGACGTGTTCCTATGTATTAAACTTTTATTACGATAATGTCACTGACACTAGTCGAGTGCGCATAAGAAAATTATACAATAACATTTTGTACGTAGGTGTGCGCGTATACGTGTGTGTTTTCCTCCGATATTTGTAAAGATTAATATTTTATTATCCCGACGCCTTTTCGTTGAAGAGTCGTCCGGTCTCAGCATAACAACTACACCGCTAAAGTGTAAAATTTATTATAATGCAGCTGCCACTCCATTCGTTTCGTTCGGAAGTCCGATAACATTACAATTGTGTATATTATTTGGTTACCTACCTATATAGTTTATACCTATACGCATATACGAAGCCCATCCGTTGGAGGTCTATAATATTACAATAGACGCGAACGTCTGACGATTGATTTGACTTAAAAGAAAATCTGCACAACGACTATATGTGCGATTTTTGATTCCAGATATCGTATATAATAATATATAGGTATGCAGGTAAATATATATTATTATTATTGTAAAATACGTAAGTACTGCCACACAGGCAATCAGACACAGCGAAGCGGATAGCATAGCACTAATCTAGGTAGGTACTATAATATAACTAAGTAATAACATTTTACGAGTATATAATTTTTAGAATAAATATTTAAACTATTTTATTTTTTATGTAAAATTGTAAACACTACATAATTACACAAAGTTTAAAAACTCATAAATTACTCGTTTGAATTTCGAATTTTAACCTTTAGAAACACCAAAATTAAAATTAAATTCTTAAAGATTACCTATTTACAATTAAAATGAGTGGTTCTTATTTGAAAAAATTAAGTTTGTATCATAACACAGGTCACACATTTAATTGTATAGAAATTCAAGTAAGTGTTTGAAAATATGATCTTATTATAATAGTGCATTTGACTTCACAAATCTACTTAAAAATTGAAAAAATCAGAATTTTAATAAATTCCTTTTTAAGAATAAATGAGGGATTACCATTGTGGGTGAAAATCAGTCGATGTACCTATAAAGTATAGACAATTTTTAACTTCAATATAATATTTAAGATTGCAAATATTTTAAGACTGTTCTAATAATTGTTGGTGTAGTTACCTATCTAAATGCTGAAATTGAAACTGTATTTGATTTGCATACAATATATTATTTTAAAAGATATTTTTTCATTGTGGTTATATTGTTATGTTTGTGCACCCACTTATTAGTTATTATTGTTACCGCTATTATTGTTTGTTATTATATTTAATTGTTTTTTTTATATCATGCATGGACAGCAACGGACGTCTACTTTTTGATTATCATGGATAACATTTTTGATTTTTTAGGTGGTGGACGTTTTATGGAATACTCACGATATTTTTCCTATAAGCTGTGTAGAAGTGGAGAAATAATAGTTGTTATTTTAGTTTTTTATTTTTGGTTTCACGAATTGAAAAAAAAATCATTATTATTCTCGGTTTAGGTGGGTATACAATATGCATTATCTAATTTGTAAAGGTACTCACAATTACGCAGGCAACGTTAATATACACACATAATATTATGCACGCACGCACGCACGCCCACGACCTATTTTGTACTACTTGTATAAACACAACGATTAAAGTATATGTTTGCAGGCTTATGCAAGATTTATGTTCGTGAATAGTGATGAAATCGTATCATCGACTTTTATATTTCAGTCACCCTTTTAATACCTATACTGACAATTGTTAATAATAGAGTTAATATTATTTTTAAACTACTTAACCTGCACCTGAAGTGAGGCCTGTAAGTTGACTTTAGTCTATAATAAAACCATTCTAAGTATACACTCGTTTATTAAATGAAAAATCCACAACAACATTTTTGTAAAATTTAGTTTATTGTAGTATGTACCTACAACCTACTATGTACTATGTGTCTATGTAGTATGGTATTATTTGGAAAATATTATCTTTATAACAAATAAATATAAATATGTACATAAGAGTTGGTATATTATATATTATATAAAAACATTTTCTAAATAAATTACCTTCTTGTAGGTACTCGGCAATATATTTTTGAAGAAAACAAAATTTAAAAAAAAATTGAATATCTTATATGGCTATAAAGAGGTATATACCAATAACCAATTCATGGGGAGAAAATATTACACTATACAAAGAATATATTGAATTGTATTGGATTTTTAAATAATATGATGAAACCAGTACCTAATTGAATACCTAAAGTGTTAGATCCCAATAATATTTATAACTAATGAGTAATGAATAGTTCTAATCGTTGAAATTAATTATTCAGATTTATGAAAGTATATCAGCAATTCAATATAAAATGCGAATAATAACTATATTTTTTAAATGTTTTATATTCATCATACGTAAAATATCACTGTAATTGATTTATAAAGAAATTACAAAAACGACAAAATATGTACCTCACAACATTTTTTGACTTACAAAATTAAGACAATTCAAAAATTATCACTGCACTTCAACATATTAAAGTTATATAATTGTTTTTAATCATAATTAATCGTTGCAGATTACTACCGATCTAAGACGTATTTATATTAATAATATTTTTTAGCTAACTAAATTTTATTATTGAAGGAAATGAGTTCGGGGAAAAAAATAAAAACCATCGAAAATGAGAGCGATGAAAACTTACCGTTCGATATTTACGATTCGGGTTACCCGGCAAGAATTATTTCTTCCGAAAACAACAGTAGTTCTTTTATGGACTCAAAATCGTCAGTACGTGTGGCGTCGAATACCGGTGGAACTGCATTAAACGATTATGATGTGGACGACGAAGAAGACTTCATAAGTAAGTATTGCTGTCTATTACAAAACATTAATATTATTAATAGGTACGTTAAAAATGAAACAACGTTATCAAATGTATTGCAAAAAATTTTTTTTTAAAAAGGTGCATTTGTTTGAACAGTTTTGTTTTGTTTTTAATTTATGGCCTATTCCCTCATTTTAGTTTTTAATGTGTATACGGTGTGACTCTTTAGAAGTGTACTTCGCGTCTGGCACAGTACTGAAGCCGTCCGACAAACCGTACGATCTGCGGTCGAAAATATACGAAGCAAACCGAGAATTAGCAAACGCCAGCGAGAGAAAATTTGTGAACGTGCCGGGAAAAGTCAAGTTCGACAACACTGTCGTGGTATTGGACAGTTTCGAAGACATTGGTATGGCGTTTTCCGTGTTTGCGTTGACAATAATAATACTTCGTATGTTTAATGAGCACATGCTTGTATTATGTACGGTAAATGTCTACGGAAGTAAAACCCACCTTTAAATTACCACTGATTATATAGGGAGGGGACGAGCGTTATTAATAATTTTTTTAACTTATACGAAAGTCATTTATAGTTTTTATAACGTTTATTTTGTTTTTAATTTGTATATAGATAGGTACTTACAAGTTATTTTGAATGTCTACTGAAACCTAAATACAATAAATTACCTATTTATAATGCTCCCGGTTTTTTATATTTTGACAGTGCAGTATATAGTAGGTACCTATTATTAGTATTTCGGATTAAATTGTTTAAGGTTAAAATTATAATTTATTTCATACCTAACATATGTTTAGTCGTTTTCTGTTAGGTTTTATATATTAAACCATACTGTTATAGTGCTATGTACCAATACCATATTATTATACGTAATTTATAAGCAATAAATATATATATAATATATATTATATACATATTGATTTTTATTAAAGGTTAAATATTATAGTAGCTATTAATTTAAATTAAATTACGTTGATATTATTTGTTAACAGTAGGTAATATAGTTTTATTTTCTTATCCCTTTGAAAAATACCGCATGAAAAATTAGCAAAAAATTGTTTTTAATATATTATTTACTGTGGGACTATCTGTGGACTTATATGGATGATGTTTATTCTCAGTGTTATTATAAGTCATCTTAATAATTATATTTATAGGTACAGTGTCGATCGGCACGGAAACACTTCAAGGGGCCGAAGTTATTCTTTCCGATCGTCCAATCGATGACATCGAGGATAAAGACATTTTGGCCAAAATTGATTTGTTAAGAGACGATGATGCAGACGACCAAAACGACGTGGTATGCAGTTCGGCTACCGATAGGACGCAGGACACAGACACAGATGACAAAGCTTATTCAAGCACTTCGTTCAGCAGGAGTTTTTCGTCTGATTCCGACGACCCGTTGTTCATAAACGTCATAGAGTCCGGGGATGAGTTCAAGACGATCATGGACCGGAACAACAAGACCCGCCAAGGATCGGCGATTGACGAACATGTGACGTACTTCCCGGAACTGTTCACCCACACGCAATACAAGATGTACGAAAACTGTGCTGAAAAGCCGCTGGAAGAAGGTGATGTAAACATATACGTTCCCAAGAAACTGGACGCGGAGGAGCTGAGAAGCAAGCTGAAGGAAATCACCGGAGAGCGTAAACGTGCGGTGCAGGTGGCGGGGGCTTCGAACGACAGGAAAGTCGACTGTAAGCCCATGAAAAAAGTCGGTTGTTTCACATCGTTGCGGAACGTACAAAAAAAAATCAAGCAAAATATAAAAACATCCGAGAAAAAGGTCCAACCGTCGTCTACCCAGATTCAGCAGCAGATGATCAACTGCAGCAACGGTAACAACAATAACAATAATAACAACAACATCAATATTAATAATAATAATATAAATAAAAACAACAAGGCTCGAGTGACATATTACTTTGAAATGGACCCAAAGGGTAAGCTCAAACCGCTGAACAGTAAGAATAATCGGCAGGCAGTCGACGAAACGAGTTCTTCGAACAACTGTAAAGAAAAATCTGCGAATAGATTCTTCCACATAAACCTGAGGGCGGCGAAAAACGGCCAAAACGCCAAGCCCCGTATAACCAAGACGCCAAACGCAGATTTGTTTCTGGAATTTCAGACGGACAAGTCCGGAAACAACAAGGGCGCGAAGTTAGTGATAAAAAAAAAACAGTCCACGGCTGGGGAAGAGCTGCAACTCAGCCCGACAAGCTTGAGCGGTGGAGGTACCAACAAGAAGTCCTCCGCCGCCGGCAGTGGCGAACGTCCCCGTTTGCCGGGCTACAACGGCCTCCGATCCGAGTACGGGCTGTCGGCTGAACAACTGTTGGAGAGGCGCAACACGAGAATGGAACGAGAGAGGCGGAGGAAAGAGTTGAGGCAGAAGAAACACGAAGAAGAGCAGAAGAAGAGGGCGGAAAACGAAAAAAATTTCTATAAATGGCTGCAGCAGAAGAAACAGCTGAAGAAACACGCGAAGACCATCAGACGCAGCTATCCCATGAACAGACTGACGGTGTCTTCAACAAGAGTTTCCATGTAAGTTTTTTTATGAACTCGTGAACCTGAACCTATATAACATATTATTGATTTAGCTGTTTTTTAATTAATATAATATTTTAATTGTTGATGTTCTTTTATTTTTATTATCAGAAATTCTATACACGACCATGATCGACGCAAAGGATCATTTGCTCTGGAAGAGTTGTTAAAGATCAAAGACGAAAATAGCGGATGGTTTAAGTTTTAAAAAAAAATCGTTATTTAATTCATTATATAAAGATCGTTTATATTTAATCGGTTATTAATTATTAGTTATTATCATATTATATTGTAGGTAGATATGACTGTGGATTACCTGCATGCTGTAGTCTAGTAAATATACCTACATGAAGTACCTTATATGTATTATATGCAATTTATAGGTGTATTTAAATGATATATTTTCAAAAGTATTCTATAGTTGTGGTTCTCAACATCTTTATATCTATCTTCAGTACTACCTACAAAATATGTTCACTTGCACCTTAAACAAAAATACAGTTATGTCTTTATGAGTAAATGAAAATATTTGATCACGAACTACATAATTATAAAACCGTGAATCGTTATAAATTATGAACAGCGTTTATTGCATAATAACCATATTTATTCAATTAGTATTTTTATAAATGTCTAAGTGATTTCTGTATTCAAATTTATTTAATTTAATTTTTAATAAGAATCAATACTATTTTTTAAAACTATTTTATTCACTTATAGATTTTATGGTTAGAGTATTAGGTTATTTTTATACATAGATGTGATGATGTTGAGACCAGTGCTATTCTATGTTATTTATACATTATATATGCGTTATGTAAATATATAGATTAAGAATTGACATTATTAAATTACTGATACAATAATTATTCTAACATATCACTGCCCATGACTGGTAATTATGTATTCTTCCAACCTGTCAATTTAATACTTGAATATTAATATTCTACATTTTTTATCGCCACTTTTGACCTAATTCTCATTTATATATCATCGAAAACGATTAAATAATAATAATAATAAATGCCATTACAAAATTCCAAATCTCAAGTTTTATACTTTTTTTAAATATTTAAAATATATTTTATAAGCTATATAAAAATAAGTTTTTGTTATTAAATATTAATAAGTTATGATTTATGATGTTAAATTCACGTTTGTTATTTTCTTTTTAAATACGAAACTGTATGATATATTAGTAAATAATAATTAATAACGATACTATACAATCAGTAGATAGTTCAATTTAATCTATAATGTAGTCATAGTATTGGAAAACAAGATTATGTGCTTATACTTCATACATTTATAATGCTATATTGTTCTATCAGTAGTAGCCAGTGTAGGTAATCGATTAATTTAAGCATTTTATTTCTAGTTGAATTATAATATATAGTAATTACTTATTATTGTTCTATGTTATTAGTTACCTAACATAAAAAATAAATCATAGAAAGCATCGAAATTTAAGAGTTATATTTTAATATATTATACAATATTTAGAATTATGTTTTATTGTTTATGTGTGTGTATGAAATTAAACGTTATTTATAGCTGCCACATGTCATTAAAATTGCTTAGTTTTCTTACCTATCGAAAATTGTTAAACATAAATGTTTATAAATGATTACCTTTGTCAAATGTCAAGTGAATAATAATCACGTTTGTTGCATATTATAGTGAAGGAGAGGAGAGTAAAAAGTTATAAAAAATATTATATGTTTAGAATCGTATCAATTTGAAAAATATTTTACCTAAATTATCTGATATATTTTTCTTTGAAAACGTAATTCACGGAGATATTATTTATTAGTATTTAGTTGTGTCAAAAACTGTCAAGTGAACTCGCTTCTTATAAAGCTTATAATTAAAATATTAATTTTGAAATGTACCGAATACCGATACGTAAACAGTTGTTTTTAAATCTAAATAACAATATAATTTATTATACTATAAGTGTAAATACAAATATTAAACAAAATAACTATTATTAGTGTTTACTGCTTACACAAATCAAGAATTAATGTTGTTTTTTTTAAATGTTACATCGGAACCAACTCAAATAACTATAATCATAATAATAATTGTACATATAGGAAAAAATGAATCTAAACTCTCCAAAAAGAGTATGTTAGTACGTAGTCAATATGAAAAAAATTATCTTTTAATCAGTGGCGTAGCGTGGGTTTCAGCTTAGCGTATATACTTATTCATTAATATATATTACATTACCTAGTACATAACAAAATATTATATTTAATAAATAATAAAAAAAAAATAAAAAATTTTTTTTTAAAACATGCTTTTCTTAATAACATGAACTAAAAAGTTTAAAATAAACTTACTTTTCAAACAATTTCTTAATGAAACTTCAAGGTTATCAAGATATTACTAAAAGTGTATCTAAAATTTATTTGTTGCAAAATTTTTAAAACTTGTGAATTACAAAAAACGAAATGCATGGGGCTAATATGAGTCAAGAATATCTCTTACAAAATTGGAAGTATGATCAATAATCTTTAAAATACTTATCGTTAAGTTTATCTAATGATTCAGTTGTAGAGTGACTTTACATAGGAGTTATCATAAGTGCCCCATGCTTTTCGTTTTTTGTAATTCACAAGTTTTAAAAATTTTGCAAAAAATACATTTTAGATACACTTTTAGTAATATCTTGATAACCTTGAAGTTACATTAAGAAATTGTTTTAAAAGTAAGTTTATTTTCAACCTTTTTAGTTCATGTATTAAGTAGAATTAAGAAAAGCATGTTTTAAAAAAAAAATTTTTTTATTTTCTACTTTTTAGTGATAACAATAAATTAGAAACAAAGGATTTTTTGAAAGCATAATTTTTTTTATGTTTTTTTTAGTCTCTTTATTTCTCATGTTTAAAGAATTAATATAATTATAATAGTCAACAGATAACAACTCACCGTAGAAATTCTTGAAGAGCTTCCTTCTTGCTTCACGAACTAGTATAAAATGTTAAATGATTAAATATTGAAACACCTATCTATAATAATATTGTTCTGTGTCAGGCTCCACCTATTTTAGCCCCCACTACATCAACCGTTCGAGGTCCGTGCTTGTAGTGAAGCCACGCCCATGCGCACAACTTGGCCGCCGTAGCCTGATCTTATTTTGAATAGACTATAGAATAATATAGAAGCGACACTCCTCCCCCCACTTCACTTTTTTTTTGACAAAGTATAACTTAGCGGGTATTTCACTTAGAGATCCCGGACCGAGGGGATCTCAGTTTTTAAGGCCCCAGATGAATTTCCACCATTAGGGAACCAAAGCCCCACCCCCCCCACATTTTGAGTTAGCCCTGAATTGACAACGGGGTCATGTATTGTCACCGACCCCAGACCTCCATACAAAATTTGAGCCTCCTAGGTCATGTAGAAGTGATTTAAATTGAACTCGCAAGATTTGATGACAACAGAAATGAATGAAACATTGTGAGTTAAAGAAAAGCATGTAAAAATTAAATCACTTTTTAAAAATTAATGCACCTTATAACTTATAATAGACTGTCAAGGATAGCGTACACTGCAATACTGATCCCGCATACACTAGTGACGAATATAGGACCATAAGCGTTCTATGTTTTGTTATTATCGATAAGAACTATCAATAACTGCAGTCGCCGAAAGTCTGTACCCTTATGCAATCGCCTACTTGCATACTGCTTAGTGCTTACATAATAAACAAGGTACCGAGGTACTCGTGTACTAGCGACTAGATTTAAGCGACTAGGACTATAGCGCGTCGCGGCCGTGGTGTTACGGATTAATCAATCCTAATGAATAATGATTAATGAACTTGGAAAAAAATCCGAAAAATATTATATTATTACGAAGCACTAAATTAGTACAATGAAATTTAAAACATTTTTATAAAAATATAGAATTATTAATATATAAAAAAATAATTTTTTCATTTTGTGAAGCGTGTACTGTGCATACACAGCATACGCATACGCTACGCCACTGCTTTTAACCTAATATATTTTTTTAATAACAAAATAATATTATTATTGTTCAATATTCATACCCATTGGCCGGCACAGTGTATAGCCGTATAGGCAATTTCGGCACAACTGTGTGTACGTACGTAGGCTTTCGAACGGTATCACACACAATTTTAAAAAAAAAGGATTTTTGACAAGAGACAACACAACAATATTATCATTAATTACTTGGCGACGAAGACGTGACAAGTACCACTCAAATCCGTGTGGAGACAATCCGTTACTTCTGTTTGATATAGTAAACGACGACAAATTTAAGGATTTCGGTGATTGTCTTAGTAACACTGCGGTTAAGTTTACATGATAGGTTTACTATCGATTCAGTATAGGTAGTTGATAAATAATAGGTACTTTGTTGTAAATACAAATTTTTTCATTTATAATTTGTATTACTTACCTTATCTTACTTACTTGTCTCTTAACTACATTTGCACTGCACCTTCTATATAATGTAGTACAAACCATGTAGGACCGCTAACCAATTTATATACAGAGTTTCAGCGTTTGGCACAATAATATAACAATTAATTATAAGAGTTTTAATAAAAATTTTATAGCCGTGAAAGGCGGGGCAACTTAAAACGTATTTATAAATGTACAAATTTCATCTTTTATTGAAAATTCGTAAATGAGACTTCATCGGTTTGATCGATAAAATTGTAAGCTTAAGTTATCAAACAATATAGTATTAAACAGTTATAACTTTTAAACTACAAGTTTAACAATTCGTTTTGAATAATATTGTAATCAACAGTAAAACTGCTTAAATAATTTATTAGTGCTAAATATAATATATTTTTTAATTATCTTCCAGAAACCTATACTTATGATTTTATAGGATTTAATTAGATTTAATCCATTAATATTCAGAGCAGATAATCAGTGTGGTCATTATTCCAACATTATTTTGATTAAAACTATTTGTATGATATTTCTTTGAAAAGTCCCGCGGTCGTATCCAATATTATATTGAAAAAAAATATGATTGGGAAAAAATACTTGAACGTCTGCAATGTTGCCTACACTGTAAACTGAAGGCGCCAAAATGCAATTTCATGACGGCCGCCACCGTTCCCTTTGTCCGCGCACCGTAGACGGAAAAGCTGAATAATTCGTTTTTGGACGATTTCGTTTCAACGCGTCGGCCATCAAATTTGTAAACTTTGGCTGTTGATTCCGTTGCACTTCCGTGCTTTGTAATCTGGTCGCGAACAATCAATATGGATTGGATTCATTGCAACTCGTGTTTTGTTCAACCCAGCAAAGATAATGCGCAAAAAAAACAGTTTCACTTGACCAGCTGTGGCCATATATTTTGCGAGACCTGCACTTGTTTTGCGGACGGTGAGTACTGAGTAATGGCGGATCGGACCAAACGGAATTTCGTTTGTAATATTATTTATCACTATTTTATTTCATGAGAAAAACAACGACAGACGCATTAGTTAAAACGGTTCGCATAATAGACCGTCTTATTTATACATATACCTACGGTAATTTTCGTTTTACTGTGTTGTTAAATTTAATAACGTGAATACTTGACGGGTCACCCTCGCCCTTATAGTCTGTAAGCTTAAAAGTTATAAGTTAAAACCTATATATTATGTTAGTCCGATAGTCGTGTGATTAAAGAATATAGGTAGAGGGTGATTAAAATAGTAATAATAATATATTTTATAGAAATGTTTATTCAATAATAAAGCCGGTAGTATAGACAGTATAGTGTAACAATATTATCAGAACTATCTTACAAAAAATTAATTTTTCAATTTTTGTCATAGTACCTAATTGTTAAATACTTTTAAATATTTTTTTTTTGTATTTCAGACTTAATTTCATAAATTTAAACTTAAGAAAATATTGTAATAAAACAATTAAATTAATAACTTTTACCCACCCTCATAGAAATTATTTTTTACGCCGTGGTAGGGGAATCCGGCAATTTTTGTTTATTATACAATTCAATTTTCAGGGACACCGGATTCCTGCAGACATTGTAGGAATAAATGTTCATCTACTGTGATAGGAGAAAAAGTAATTAAAAATATATTAAATAAACGATAACATGATCAATTTTTCGACAGTATTTTTATATGCATCTTTACAAAAACTATAAAGTTTGATGTTTACTTTTAGTTATAACTCATTACTCAATATAAAATGTAATAAGTTAATAAAATTATTTTAGTCATTTAAAACGAACCCACAAGTCTTGGAATATTTCCAAGAACCGGAAGAAGTCTACGAAAAATTGCTCAAAGTGATGAAATTCCAAAAAGCTCATCGTGTTAAATTAGTTGGACATCATCAGTACATTGTAACATTTTTTTAATATTCATGCAATCATACCTAGTTATTAGTTTAATTTATTATAAAATAATTTTCCTTACTATATTATGTGTAGATATCGAAATACAATAGAGCAAAATTATACATTAAAAAACTTGAGGGTGAACTAAAAATTGCTAAAAAGTATGTATACCTTAGAAACTAATATACTAATATACATCAGCGTTTCCCAATCTTTTCCCCTCACGACACACTAATCACAACTCGGCCAACTCATATTTAGCCGTGGCACACTTGGCAATGACTTATATACATATATATTTATTTTAATTTGAATATTAGGTTAGGAAAACTTATGTAAAATCATATTTCAATTTATTACAAATATCAACCTTCATTATAAGTATTCCTTCGTGGTCGAATAGTTGACAAGCACATTGGCGGATCCAGGACTTAATATGGAGATAGGGGCAAAAGTACAAAAAGTACAAAAATTGGCTACAAAATGCATGCCCCCTCCCCCCCAGGATCGGCCACTGGTCTTCCAAGTTCTTTATTTGTGATCGGTTTTTGGTTTTCATTGAATAAAATTATGCTTCGAAAATAATATGGCATGTAGAAAATGGCAGTATAGCAATAAGTCTGAACAAAAATAATTTTTATTACACTATTTATCAAGAATTCCAGATAATCCATGATAAGAAAATCATTTATTAATAATCATGACATTTCGCGGCAGACCGGTTGGGAAACGTTGCGGCCTGCTATAGATTATTAACACAATCTTTATTATTTTTCGCCTATTATAACAATGTATAAATGTATTAATAGTTAATACTAATTTAACTTAAAGTGCATTGCGGAATACACCACAAACTTCATCAAACGTTGCAGAAACACGATCCATTTCGACGCCAATATTTCCAACTAATTCAACACCATTTAATATGATTAACGCAGAATCAAAAATTAACAGAACTCCTGGAATTATGAAACACAAAATGCCCGATATGAGACATAGGTAACTATTGAGAAAATTGAATGTTTCATTTTTGTAACAATATATATATATATATTTTATTAAGTGTATAATTTAAAAAAAAAAGGAAGCAGTCATTTCGAAACGAGTTATCAATTTTATCTACGGGAAGTAATTTATCTGGAGTATCTACGCCAGCGTCTTCAATTTATCAAAGGTGATATTATAGCTTTTATTTGTTTATAATTGTTTTATATAATTATTGCATATTAATAGTAATGATAGTAATAAAATTATAAATAATGAACATGATTACTAATCTCAAATCTGTGATTAGTATATTATAATTTTCAAGTTTAAACTTTAAATTAATACCTATTCAATGAGTTTATTGTTTATTTATTTATTAATTTTATTATATTGATATATTTATATATAATGTATATTAATACCTAACTTGTTATTAAGTTATTATTACTCTTTCCTACAGTGATATGATAGGAATTTAACAGTGGAGGGGGAGATTATCATAATAATTACATATTTACATTTTATAAAAAATACTTTAAAATATGTTAAGTACATTTATATAATTTCCATTTTGTAAGGGGTTGAACCTAGGCGGTTAGCCCCACTCCCCGTGCCATGCTTTCTTACAACGTTTTTACGAATTTTTGGTATTTTTTACAAACAATTTTATCAATAACAAAAACAAAACAAAAAGCGGATAAATGGATGTCGCTCAGCTGTACAGTAGGTTACAAGTCGGTCACTGTAATTATTAGTGTCATTACAGTGTAATGAATGGAATTAAATTTGAATTCAATGATATAATATAGTTGTATACGAAAAACGATTCACTAATAAAATCACTAAAAAATAACTAAAATCGTTATTCTTGGTTATTTATTATGTAATTAATTTGTTTTTCTTGGCGCTTTTGAAAACTACTGTTAATTAAACATTTTTACTTCTCGAATGCATCAACTAGATTCACTTTCCCATTGAACAAAATGCTGAAGTTAATAATCAAAGCATTTTCACTGACCCCTAAAGGTGACGACAGACACAAAAAATTAAAAAAATTAAAAAAAACACATAGCTTGTAAAACCATTCATTCATGGCTCCTCTCAGAATCTAAACTATTTAAGGAAATTAAATCAAAATAACATAATAATTTTAACACCTCAGCGTTAGATTGGAAACCGATAATTATTTCAACCAAAATGTACCAATCTCTTGCCAATCATACAGATGGATCCGATAACGCGAAAACTGATTTCAATTCGTTAATATGCCTATGTGTACTTGAGAGTTGAGATCGATCAGGCCACTTTGATAAAATTTTATTCCTAAATTCCTATTCACTTTGATTGAATATTTAAAATGTATGAAATTTAAAACCTTGATTATTCGAAAATGAAATGGAATAGGTATCTTAAAATGTGGCCTGATCGATCTCAAGTAGACATATTAAAGAATTCAAATCAGTTTTCAGAAGTCTTATTGTGTGATCAGGTCCATCTGTAGGATTGACAAAAAGTACATGCAAATGATCGTATACCTAATGTTTACCATTCACGTGCGCAACATCTAGGTGGTGACTTGTTCATATGCGCGCTAATAAATCATAATCAGATGGCCAGATGGGTCATCGTTGGCCAACTTCATCAATCATCATCCTATATTATTAAACTCCTATATTATATTTTAGTCCTCTGCAAGACATTCACAATGAAAAGTACATGCCTACAATAGATAACATACAATTAAATACATTTGGACATAAGTAAATATAATTATTTACATATTATTTTCGAGAAATAATACTTACCTACCTACTTAATAATACAACTCCGTTATAATTTGTTTCAGATATCTAGGAAAAAATCAAAAAGGCGTATAAAAGAAAACAAATTTAGAATAAGTGTAAGCTGGTTATAATTAATACATTTTACAAGCATGTATATCGTCATCATTTATAATAAGTTGAAGAAAAAGTTTTTTTTTATTAAATTTAGTTGACTTCTACATTTATATAGTATATTGTTATAAGACATATTTTCCTGTAACTAATAGATACAATTATTCACTTTTATTTTCCTCTCATTTGTCATAAATATCTTAAGGTATATTAAATTATGTTTTAGTTTTTTTCTTAAATAAATATTTTTGTTTTCATTTAAATGAGGGAATAGCCGGATTCATTTATTGAGTTTATTATATATTTTTTTGCAACACTGTCATCTTCGGCTTTGTGTGATTAAAAACTGAGCATCTAGCGTTCCTTTTGGCCATCATTTCAATTATTCAATTTTTTTTGGCAGTGTGTGTATGTTCCTCGTCGCCGCCGCTTGCCACTGTTCATCTACTGTATAATTAATATATTTTATTATTTTCACCTTAAATTTAATCAATTAAAAGTTAATACTAATTAAAACCGACAATGTGTGACGATTCGAATTTGATTTTGTGCTATAACCGCGGATGTGCTGTGAAATTTGATCAAGCCAATAATCCTGAAGGTAGGTTGTACCTATTTTATTTTAACACGAAAATTAGTCTATCTATTCTTAAAGAAAAAACCTAGCAATCGGTAAGAAGCATTACATTTTTAAACAATTGGTTGGCACGACCGAGAAATCCATTTACTAATTGTTTAGTACAATAGTACAACCAATTAGATAAACAGATAAAGCAACTACTATATTACCTTCTTACATATTTTATGGTCCCTTCTTACTCCCTTCAATACTGTTATATATAATTTTTACTGTAAGTCTGTTCCTACTTCATAGTGGAAAAGTTGCTTGTTATAAATTTTATAAAACTTTGATACGCTTATATCGAAAGTTTAGTACGAAGTACTTATAGATGATTCCCCTGTTAATTCAATCAAAATATTTTGTTTGATAATTACCTAACAGTTTTTTTTTTTTTTTTTTATTAGATTCTTGCGTATATCATCCAGGTGACCCTTTTTTTCATGATGCCTACAAGGGATGGTCGTGCTGTAAAAAGAAATGTACCGATTTTACTGAATTTCTTAATATAAAGGTAATTCTAATATTTGATACAAAATTTATTATACTTAATTATATTAATTTTACTTATATGTTTAAATATTTATATGTTTAAGGGCTGCACAAAGGGTTACCACAACGGTAAAAAGCCAGAAGAGCCCGAAAAGTATGTTCCAGATAAAGATAGCAAAGTTGATGTCATTGAATATCATGCCCCAAAACCAGTTTCGTTACCGAGACCGTCATCTAATTTGCCATTGATAAATATTAAACCGACCATATCCGCTACTCACTTACAACAAATGACCGCTGCTGCTAAAAGTAATACTAATGGAAACGAGACAAATAGTTCAACTGATATTGCAATTGGTACTATGTGTAAAAACAACGGATGCAAACAGGTCTTATCAATTTATGATTTATTTAAAAAAATTTTTAAACATTGTCTTTATTAACAATGTTAAAATATTATAGGCCTACGAAGGTGCTGGAAAAGGGAATCTTTCTTGTGACCATCATCCCGGTGTACCTATATTCCATGAGGGTATGAAATATTGGTCCTGTTGTAATAAAAAGACGTCCGATTTCAATGCATTTTTAGAACAAGTTGGGTGTTCTCAAGGAAACCACTGTTGGATTAAAGAAACGGTAATTTCATGTAATTATTGCTTTTGTTATTAAAATAAAAAATATTCAATGATTTTTTATGTGTTTCAGAAAGTTCAAGGACATACTAACTGCCGTTTAGACTGGCATCAGACTGGACCCTGGGTTGTAATATCAATTTTTGCCAAGAAATATGATCCAAACTCTTCTTTTGTAAAATTGTCTCCTGTTAAACTGTCCGTGGAATTAAACTTCCCTTTTGACAATTCTGTGTTTTCTAAAAACATGGAACTTTATGGGGTATTTATTTGCCATTTTTAGTTTCAAAATTAAATATTTAATTTATGCTATTCTAATTTTTAGATTGTCGACGTTAATACAAGTTGTGTGTCCATGTTGCCCACAAAAGTCGAAATAAAACTTAAAAAGGCAGAAGCTGTATCATGGGGTTTATTGGAATATCGAAAGCATACACTTTTAAATGGTACAAAACAAACTTTAAATTCAGAAACAAATAACAAACATGAAAATTCAAATGGCTTTGTTGAAAGTGTTGACCTTGGGGATCTTTAATTTATAAGATCTATTGGATTTTCTTTAAATTTTTGCCAAATATTTGTAATCCTGATATAAGAATTATGTTTCTGTTTTTTTTTTTACCATGTATTTATTTTCATGTTAAAATACTATCACAGTTAACAATGTTTTCTCTTTTTAAATCAAATATTTACTAACATCAAGATGTTTTTTGCCTTATTGTTTGAGGTTTATTATTTTTTTTCTTCATAACATTTTGTTTGTAATATATTACTTCAAATTCAATGAAAACACAGTGTAGTTGTATTCCTATTAGAAATTGTAATTTATGTTTTCACAAGAACAATATAATTATAAAATTATGCGAAAATTCTACACATAGCTTAATTAATTAATATTTTTTTTAAATACATGTTTTTGACGTATAGATTAGATGAGTTAAAATCATGTACAAAATTCAAAATTGTTTTGTACTATAATATTGTACAAATCACGTAATTATTTAACTATCTAGTATACAAAATGACGGTAGACCGTATAGTGGAAGAAATAAGATAATTATTATAATATATTAATATTATATTTGTGTATTATGTATTTAAGTGTACGTGTTATACCGAGATTTTTTTAAGCGCCTGTGGAAATTAATTTGTAATTTTGGTATTTTGATGAATGAGTATATTGAGTACATACAGAAGAAGAAATTTAAATAACTAACATTATTATTTAGGACAAAGGATTTATCCCTAAATATCCTTTGTATCAACCCTGAAAATTATGCTATCATCTGGTCTGTTGATCTTAATTTTTTTGAGTGCAATTGGTACAAGAAGGTGTCTTTTCAGAATGTCTGATTGTTTTGTGTACAATGATATATCAATATACATAGGTGCTGTTTGGAGGGTGTTTTGGGGATGATTAGTACCACCAGTTTTGAAATTAGCACCCTCATAATATTGGGCAAACGTAAATTGGGCCCAACAAGGGGAAACAATATTGGAAATTGGGCCGGTATTTTTCAGGTATAAATTTCTGTGTAGTAAATTGCGCCCGGTATTTTTCAGGTACAAATTTCTGTGTAGTAAATTTGCGACCAATAGAAATATTATTTTTATGATGGTCATTTAGATACTCAATAGTCAATACACGTTTTTACATTACATCGCCACTTTGTTTCACCCGAAGACAACTCACGTTTTAATTTTGAAAATGTATTAGTTTGGTAGAATATAATTCTGGCTAAATCCAGTATGTACAAAATCTATGTTTCGCTGTTGCACGCCAACGGCTTCCTAAAATAATATTACCTATACCTACGTAAAGTAATTGTATACGCTTAAAGTAATTTATATTGTTAATACCATAACAATTATAGCGTTAACGTTCGGCTTATTTACCAATAAATGAACAATAGTATTTTTAAAATACACATAATGGGTAGGTACCTAACGATGAATATTCAAAAGTCACTACTTAGATACTATGGTCTATGGGCTCAATTTACTAAACCCATTTTACACCCCGAAAAATCCCAGGCGCAATTTACCGTACCAATTTTAGAAAACAAAAAATCCTGGGCAGTGGCGTAGCCAGAATTTTTTTCGGGTGGGGGGGGGGGCTGACCAACTTTTACACTTTTATACATTAAATACGTACTATAGCACAGGCCACAGATAGATAGCTGAAAAGTGTTTATAAATTATACTTATAGGTAGGGGCGTAGGGCAGAGGACTTGTAGCTCTAAAAAAGCTCTAAATATGCAAGCACTTATGCACTAAGTGTATTATAGGGCTCTTAGGTGTATTATGGGGCACTTAAGATTTTGAAATTATTAAAAAATTATTAAATTTAAATGTTCGAAATAAATTTATAATATTATACGGCTAATAAGTCGTCACGATAACACGATTCCGCAGAACTGACTGATACTATTATAAATACTAAAATATTGATTCTTGTCGTGTCTATATAAAAACGTTTTATAAATAAATCCTAATCGAATAAAAGCCCGCATGGTGTACACACGTATTTGTTGTGGTGATGTCGTAGGTATAGTGTACGTTAAAATCGTTATCGCTTCTAAGAAAAATGTGTGCCCGAGCACAGTCAAAAACTATATTAAACGACAAAAATTAAAAATAAATACATTTTTATCCAAACATTTTGACTGTATTGTTTGAAATAAAAATGTCACTGTGGAAAAAATCGATTCAAGTAAAATATGTCTCAAAAAATATAAAATAGGGTATAAAAGTGTAAAATATGCCCTACAAACCAAAAAAACGTAAAATATGCATTTATATGCATAAATGCATAATAAAATTTCAAAACTAACTTTGTGGAACCACGAAACGTATGTGTTTCGCACTCTGCTATTTTTGTGACTGTGCAAAAAAAATATGCAAATGCTACAAGTCCTCTGCCCTACTTATATGTAAATTTTTAAATATAATTCAAGACTTTTTGAGCGGCTATCATAATACTATAATAATACGACTATTATAATTTTTAAATTTTCTTAACATTTCGGGGGGGCTGCAGCCCCCTCAGCTCCTCCTCAGCCTACGCCACTGATCCCGAGCTCAATTTACTATAGTATTTTTACTACCTGTTTAATGTGGGCGCAATTTACAAGCGCCCATAATATTTATGCCATTTGTGGACTAACTGAAAAATAAGAGTTCAGCATGTTCTGATTTTTGCATCACGGCCAATATCATTGATTTTAAAACGCATTCTATTAGAGGAACCTAGCGATGACGAGATACCTATACTTGACATTCAAGTATTCGCATTCAACTGGTTTTTTCTTATATTTTTGAATATAGGTATGCATCATTTTGTTGAAAAGGTTTTAAAGCAACATTGCACCAATGCAGGAAACAATCAATATTAGGTATATTATTGGTATTCGTATGTATCGACTAATTATTTTGGCTGTTGAAAGCGAACCATTTTTAAGGGGTTGGATTTAGGCAATATTCTTTACCTATTGTAAGTGTGTGCGACTGATCATTAATCGTTACACATTAGTGTGCAGGAGTTCCCCGAACGCTTTATGTAATTAAAGATATTAGATAAACTACGGCCAAGATTCTTGGCAATCCGACAGTCATATTTTGCGATCAAACAAGTTTCAACATCCCAAAAAGCGGAAGAAAAATTCACCCAGCACCAAAAGCCAGATTTTAATTTTGAAAATATATTTAAGGGGTATGCATACCGACCGTTTCTAAGGAGTTCGGTATAGGCAATTTTCTAATTGTGTGCATGCGGGTCGTGTAAATGTGTGCGTAGTAAGTGATTATTAGTGTGGGTGACTGTGTATAAAATAAATAGTGGAGCACACCCGCACGTGCACGCACATGTCATTAGCGGAACATTTTACACTCTAATTACAAATGTGAATTTTAGTGAAACACTGAAACTTAGTTTCGTATTTCCAATAATATAGCTTACTGAGTGACATTACAGTATGAACACCTATTATACAAATTGAAGAGAAGGAGTTTGTCTAGGCTTGTATAGGAGTCGATTTTCGATATTTTATTTTCAATGTCCAATATTTAACTCTAAAACTTATGATATTTTACTTTATGAATTTGAATTATTGAGTTTAGTAATTACAAATATTAAAATTTGACGGTACTGGTTTGTTATAGCCCCGCCGTGGCAAGTGAAAACTTTAGAGCCCTGCCCCTCAGATTTGTTATAGCCCAGCCATCCATATAACAATAAATACATAGTATAAATATAAAATAATAAAGTTAATTTATTGATATAAATCTAATAATTTGATGATAGATATACTTAATATTAAAAAATGGAAAAATAATAACCTATAAAATAATGATAAATTTAAAAATGTATACAATTTTTTATAATGTTTATAACAATAAACTCATCTTATAAATATAAAATAATCAATAATCATTATTATATTATTGATTATTAGGTAGGTACCTAAAAGTAATGGTACGTATTTTCTGTAGAATTATTTTATATTTATACGATGTATTTATTGTTATATGGATGGCCTATAACAAACATGAGTGGCGGGGCTATAACAAACCAGTACCAATTTGACTTCTATATAGGCACAGATTAACTTCTCTTCTACAATATTGATAATAGGTGTTTTTACTCTCAAACCACTTAATAAACCATATTATTGGAAATACAAAAGTACATTTTTATAGATTTTTTCAATACTATTCATACCCCTTAAATCATTTATACGAAGTATAAGGTCTATGGTAATAACGTACACTCAATTTCTTACGAATATTGAATGTTTATGAAATATACCTACACATAATATTATGATAATCATACCAGGCACGGATTCAGTGAGGGGGTGCCCCCCCCCCCGTAAGCTGTGTTTTGTTTAGGAAAAATGCCCAGTAAAAAGAATCAAAACTAATTTTAATACGTTGAGTGCCGTGGTCGACGGGTTGTAGACAATTGTCAATTTGTATAGGCTTCTTTTTGGCCTTATAATTTACTCGGTTATCTGAGCAATTCTTCGGTTTATATACGTGGTTAAATGTATCTCATGATATATTTGAAAAACGCATAAGTGGAGAATTAACCCTTTGGCACGAATATTGGCTCAACGAAAAGCAACTACCTGTGACTCATATCGATGCTTTAAAACGTTGTGACTACTATTGTTTTCCTGAAATCAATATTCTATTAAATATACTTGTGACATTACCAGCGACCACTGCATCAGCAGAACGCAATTTTTCATCTCTGAGGCGGATAAAAACATGGATGAGAACAAGAATTTCGGAAGATCGATTGAATGGACTGGCTTTACTACATGCTCATCGTGATATAACAATAAACTCTGAGGATGTGATTGATGAATTTGCAAAATCTAATAGAAGACTAGATTTTGTAATTTAAATTTAATGACTATGTACGTTTTTTATCTTTTTTATTTTTATATTCATGACTGATGTTTCGGTTTTTAGTTCACTATTTGGAATTTATCAATTGATTAAAAAGTTGTATTTAACATAACTGTTTCGTGTAAGTTATTTTTGAACACAAATATGTGCGATTGCCCACATATTATATTTTATTACGTATGTAACATATTCGTCCCCCCCCTCCATAATCTCGGCCTGAATCATACAAGCTATTAAACGTAAAGAGGGTCATGGTTCAAAATAACGCATATATTTTCCAAAAAAACGGTAAAAACATGAACAATCCCTATAATACTACGCAGGTAAAAGTAGCGACCTCTTAGCGTACGCAGCGCAATCCCTGGCCGTTTAATCGTGCGACCGATTTCTGGACGTTATCACGAGCGGAGTTTGGGTACCCTTGTTCTATTATCCTTATCATCGTGATCGTACCAGACTCTTCTACGAGCCCGAGATCTCATATTCCCGTATTGTTACTCCGTATACCAGCAGTTTATTTATCTCGGTGTGCGTTGATAACGGTGTGTGCGTGCGCACCGTGACCGATGCCGATCGACGGCTGATGGCTTACCTTAGAGCATAATATGTATACACAATGTACCGTGTTGTTGATAAGGACATCATTGACCATTGGAGAGGACGACGTCGGAAAATACATATTTTCTTATGGAAAACCTCCTAAACCGCCTCTGACCGGGCCGCCGTTCCGTTGTCGTGGTTTTCTCACTGCTCACTCACCCGCGAGTTAGACGTCGCTCGCGCGTCTGGACTGCCGCAGGCCACACAGTCCGTCGTTTGGGATTTGTTTTTCCGTCCGTCCACAGCCTCATATTATGAGGCCCATCCGTGAAAGAAATCCTGGTTCATGTCTGGCCGTCGTGTGAAGTAGGTTTTGGTCGTCTTGCTAATCCCCGAAACCATGTTCGGCCCCGGCAATTATACGTTACCGCTGACCGAAGTGAAGGATAACGATGTGCAGTTACAAACAGACGTCGAGTAAGCATGTCGATAATACATTGTATGTGATGCCTCAGCAATATTCCTGTAGACCGTATTGGGTGTTTGTGCTTTGCAGTAAAGTAGTGACTGACTATAGTGATAATATTAAACTTCCTAGGGGTCCAGCTCGACGCCGGAGCTCTGAATTTAATATTATGTTTTAAATAGACTTTTAAGTTTCCTATTTGTAGATATATTTTCTGCTTAGTTACAAACCGAGCTTCTATGTTTGGGTTTAAGTACCTTTTTTGTTTTAAATAAAACAACTTTATTACAGCCCTTATAATCTGATATATTTTAAATATAATGTATATCAAACTAAAAGCAAATAGTACCTAAATTTACTACTTATTAGTGAGCTAACATTAATTTTACTTTTAGAATGAAAGTCATAAGCGAATATACGGAAGTGATCAGTGAAGAAGAAGAAGAAGAAGAAGAAGAAGATAAAATTATTGAATGTAAGTAATGCATTTATTGTTATATTTACTTAGTAAGAAACAGTATCTGTTATTACTTAGTGGTATAAAAAGCCTCAAAATTGCTCAAATAAATTGCTATTTTTGGAAAATTATGTATAGTAGTCAATTTTGAATATAAAACCAGAAAATAACAGGAAAGTTTATTCAATTGTATGCAAAATTAAATTTTTGGTTGTATTACGTTTTTAAAAATAGTGATCACTTGCTACAATTGCCCAAGTTCATACCTTACTGTGTAGAGTTAAATATATTTAAATTTTAGGAACTTGTTACAAACATTATGTTTCCTGTTTAATAAATATATGGAACATGAAATGATGCAGTTTAGTTTGAACCTAACTTAAGCCTGAGCCTCAAAGCTACTTCACCAATTGGTAATAACTAGCAAAACTGACAAGTACTTCATTAAATTTAATTTTCATATTAAAAAAAAAAAAATGTATTTTGAAAACTTTCTTTAACTTCTTAAAGTTAAGGACTTTTTTCTTTGCCCCAAATGTTGATGAGTGACAGAAACCAAATAACAAACATAGCACGCTACTCGATATTTTCCACTTTGAAGATAATTTATGAATCATAAATATGTATTAAAAAGTAACCATTAATTGTATATAATATACCTATTGGGAATTAGGATATTTTTACATTTTATTCGTTTCTATAATGATAAACAAAGTGTTACGTAAAATCGGTTAGAAAATAATAATATCTGTACCCAGCCCAAAACACAATTATGTTAAAAAAAAAAAGATTTTTTTTCCAAATAATATTAAAATAGATTTAAATTGGTACTTTTATTGATTTTTGAATGTTGTTGATATAGATGAAATTGTAACTGTTAAAGAGTTAGAAGACCAACCATTTAAAAATTTAGAAAATTGTGTATCAAATGATGCATATAATGATAGTCAAGATTCCAATTCAAGATGCAAAATGTCTATAGTAGAGTTATCACCAACAAGTATTACAAAAATAAAAAAACCAAAATTTTTTACAATTTTTTTTAAAATAATGAATTTATTTTATATTTTTGTTTAGGTTACAATGATCAAATATTATCTGATACATACATATCTGATTCATTTAACGATGATCAAGATTCCATTTCAAGATGTAAAATGTCTATAGAAGAGTTATCACCTTCAAGTGATACAAATCATGTGTTCGAAGTAGAAAGCGAATATACTTGTTTAGCTCATTTAGTTGAATGTGTGATTAATGATACATATGAAGAAAATAAACAACCCATAAAAGAAGCAGTGAGTTTGGACGATGCTTTCCGACAATGTTTAAGGACAATTAATAGTGACTTAAATGACCCTAATGACGATTATAATTTAGATAATACTTTAAAACAATTTAATAAAAATGATTCACCAACAGAAACAAATCACAAAAGAAAAATATTACATTCAGATGAATTAATTGCTACTGATAATGATGATATTAATTGTAGCTGTGGAACTCCCAAAGAACAATCCTATTTTGAAAATACTAAAAAAAAGAGAATAGTTGGTGACATGATTCGCATTGCATCGCAAACTCCAAAATCTTGTCAAAAAATTTATCATAATATTTATTTTACTGAATCTGAAATAGAATACTTTAGAAAGAGTTATCAGAAATTTTTACAAAAAAGTATTTGTCTTACTTTACCACCACAGATTGGTAAATGTATTGAATGTCGTGTTTACAATACGAAAGATAATTTGACCAAACGTGATTATGATAGTATTACGTGTAGGTTTTATGAATTCCGCCAATTAAGATATCAAAAGTGTGGAACATTGGCCGTTGCTGGATATCCAGATCCTTATAAAAATATTGACAATGTTGATTTGAGTTTGTGGTTACCTAATACCCTCTTATCTGAACGTAGTGATTTTAATATTCAAGCATCAACAAAAATTTTGGGAGATGCAGGAGGTCAATTTTGCATGTTTGTTAAGGATGAAATAGACGCATTAAAATTTAATTTGCCACGTAACGGGAAACCACGGAAAATACTATGGAAAAAAAGTGTTAATGGAATTAGAGAAATGTGTGATGTTTGTAGAACGACAATATTTAACCACCACTGGTGTTGCCGTAAATGTGGGTTTGTAGTTTGTATCGATTGCTTTAAGGCCAAACTCAATGGTACTCAACTGACTGAAAAACAAACCATTGTACAAAGAAATTTTAACAAAAAAATTTGGTTACTTTGTTCAAACGAGAAAGAACATCAGATTGAAAAACTTTTCATAACCCAAATATTGGCTGGGAATACTTTAAAATTTATTTCAGACCTCTTGCATGATATATGTTTCAATCATAATATATCTTTAGATTGTAGTTGCAATGAAACATTGGAAAAGATTTTTCCTCCTAATTCTACTGATCCTATTTTTGACAATATTCTTAAAATCTATGAACAATTACCTGGTACAAAGGATAAAGAAGAACCCAGTTTAGAAGGAATAAAAGGTATAATGAAGAGACAATATCTAAGGTATTTGGATAAGTGTTGTAATGATGATGGTTCAACTAAAGAAACTGAAGAAGTTGAATTTGAAAGTAATGGTAGTACTAGTATTTCAAGAAAAAAAGTTCAAGATAAAATGTATACAATTGGACGTATCACCAAAAGAAAAGAATTGTTTCCACCCAAATTATCTTTATTGTCAGATGATAAAACCCATGCACCTCATATGTGGCTGTGTGAAGGACATCTATTACGTTTATTAGATCCAAAATGTGACATTAACTATACAATTTTTCAGGTATTTAAAAATACTTTTTTTTTATACTTCCATATTTTATTAGTATTATTTTAAACTTTTTAAAAAATTTAATAATTTATTATTATGCATAATTTGGGAAAGCAAAATATGCAAAAATAAAAATAAAAATTTTCCAGAGAAATGGATAATTTATTTTTTACAGTAGAGTAGGTTCACTAAGAATTTTAAAAATAAGAAAACAAGTACATTTCAGAAATATAAAACTGTATAAGTTTATTCTGGAAAAAAAAGAAAAATGTGGTTACTAAATAGAAAATAGTAATAAATCAGCAAAATAACAAATATTTAAGAAGTTTAAATATGATGTAAAGTTTAAAAATAATTAGTTGAACTAGAGTTTGTTATCATAAATCAATTTAATTTTAAAAAAGACAAGTCAAGTCCTGTAAATGGGTATTTGAGTCAAGTGGTTAAAATGTTGATACCAGTATCCATTATTTGTTGATTATCGGCCGTACGGTATTTTCAGAAATTACCAATATCCAGATATCGATAATTACCAAAATGTTCATACCTATCTTTTTAAATACTGAAACACCGTACTTAGTAATCAAATAATTTTTTAACTCGGAAAAACTATTTATATTTTAAAAATTATGGTTGTAATTATTATGAGTGTATAAATTATAAATATAAACGTTATTTTCAGTAACAACGGTAATTACTGAATACTGAACTCTAAAGTACCCTCCAGCCCTAGTTAATAGACCAATATAATTATATAGACATAGTGTTTGGAATATGGGTTAAAGTTGATATAAATTTTTTAATGTATGGGTTGATAGTGTAATATAAAAAGTTATGTAAGATATGTTGTATATTTTTGTATTATGAGAGCTTCTGAGATAATATTAGTAAAAATAAATGGAAAAGTTAGAGTAGTGATGGATTTGTAAACTTTTAGAAAAGAAAAATATTTAGACGTACATACATGGTCAGATCTACTACTTAACATGCAGCCAGTAGTGTGTAAACTGAATATAAAATTATTTTTAGTTACAATTTAATGTGTATTGTATTTTTCAGGAACAATGGAGGCGTGGACAACCCGTATTAGTGAGTGATGTTGGCAATAAATTAAACTCTTCGCTATGGCATCCAGAATCATTTACTCGTGATTTTGGCAATCAAATTAATGACTTGATTGACTGTACCACTAGTGATATAATTTCAGACCAACCAATGAGTAAGTTTTGGAATGGTTTTGAAAATGCCGAGGAGAGGTTGTGTGACAAACAGGGCAATGTAATGCTACTGAAACTAAAAGACTGGCCGGCTTCTGCAGATTTTGCAGAAACATTACCTGATAGATTTCAAGATTTGATGAATTGCTTACCACTGAAAGAGTACACTCACCGTAATGGTAGATACAACTTGGCTTCTCATCTTCCAGATTGCTACATTCGACCAGATTTGGGCCCAAAAATGTATACAGCTTATGGTAATGCAGGTACGACTCACAAAAAAGTAGGCACCACAAATCTACATTTGGACATATCAGATGCTGTTAATGTTATGGTTTACGTTGCAATCACAAAGAACAGCAAAGACTATGATTACGATTGGCACGTGAGGGAAGCATTACAAGTCATTGAAGAAGCCGGCTGTGATGATTTGACATTGAGACGGATTTACGTGCATGGAGAAACTCCGGGCGCTCTGTGGCATATTTACCATGCATCAGATGCTGACTCGATTAGGGATTTGTTAATCAAAGTCTCAGTTGAACACGGAACACCTATAGAACAATTCAGCGATCCAATACACGATCAGTCCCACTATCTAGATGAATATCTTAGGGAGCGTTTGTATAGAGAATACGGGATCAAAGGATATGCAATCGTTCAGTATTATGGCGATGCAGTATTTATACCAGCAGGTGCACCTCACCAGGTATAAAATACATATTTAAATTGGATAATAATAACTAAAATTCATTTGAGGTTTAAGGGTGTCGGTGCCGGTCATTTATTAAGGAGTAAAATTTAAGCAATTAATTCACATGTTGTATCGGCCTTGCTCGGAACGTTCATGTGTGTGAGAATGTAAATTGATATTAGTGTGAGTGAGCTATAATAACACTCGCTGATAAAGATATGTACGCACGCGCATGCACAAGTCAGTGCTAGACTGCGATGACTATTATTGAAGCACTATTTTGATGAACAAAAATGGTTTCACAGGAAAAATTCTCATGCCTCGTAGATATGCCGGACAAATATTGTGCATTTTTCAAATGCATATTCCAGCTTCTATAATTATAATTTTCAAAATCGGCCTTTGATTCGACCTACAAAATGTTCTCTACTTTAAAAAAAAAAAAAAATTAACGAAATCCGACAATTCTACAGGGCGTGAGAGTATTTTCCGTAAGACATGTTTTTGTACCAAAAAACACACCTGCTCCGACCCCCTTAATTAAAAATAATGTTTATACATTATATTTATGTTACATTTTGATTGTCTTTTTTTAGGTCAGAAATTTACACAATTGTATAAAAGTAGCTGAAGATTTTGTATCTCCAGAAAACGTTCATCATTCATTTCGTATGACACAAGAATTTCGGAACCTAACGGATAGTCATACTAATCACGAGGACAAGTTACAGATCAAAAATATTGTGTTTCATGCAGTCAAAGACTCAATTTCAGTATTGATGCGTAAATAACATAAACTATACATAACTTCAAATTTTTTTGTGTGTTAACAATTTTTAAAATGTTTTATAGAACATTTACAACTTTAAAATATTTTTTGTAACCCACCACATAAAACATTTTTCTTGTACCTTTCAATTGGAAATTACCATATGTTGCCATCTCACTTTTAGTCAGTTTTTTTTTTGAAGATTTAATTATTCTAAATAACATAATAGTATATCAATTGTTTTAAATTGTTAAGGCTGTGTACATAAATATTACTGATTGTTACAACTTATAATAATGGTTTATAAATAATAAATTTAACTTCTATTTTATTATTGTTCCTTAGAAAACAATTTCTGTATGTAATAAGGAAATATACTCCCATTTTTCATTGACATTAATTGTCGCTTCAGACCATATTAATTAAATTAATGAAGCAATAATTGACTATCCATTTGTAAAATTATTTTTAAATGAACATTGTTATTCTATTGTGTAAGTAATTAAGTTAAGATAAATGTTTACAATTTTGAAAATGCTATTTTTTAAATGTATTGTATCATTTTTTTAGAAAAATTTAAAATTAAAAAAAATTTAGAATTTTAGCTGTACTTGTATCAAAAAAACACTTATCCATTTAATACCCAAATCTTCCTCAAATTTTATCTTTTTTTTAAAAAAAAAATAATCTAATTTCTTGTACCCACCAGTACACAACACACGATTAAAAATATATCGTCTAAAATGGTTGGTGGTTTTTAATTTTGCTTTAGATAAAATCTAGATAAAAAGCTCTTTGCATTCCATTGACAATAAGTACTAATTCTATGAACTTGTGAACTCGGTGTATTTGAAAAAACAATTCTTAGCAGAGGCACCTTGTCAGTCTGGATATTTCTTAATTGTTATTATTTATTATGACCTGCAAGTTGAACTAATATTATAAATTACAACAGAATAACTAAAATCATTAATTTTATTTTTATTCGTTTCTATGGTGATGAACAAAGCGTTAGAAATTAAAATCCCATTTTTAGCGGTTTTATAACTATTGAGAAAATCGAAAAATTACCTCCCTAAAGTACCATCTTGATCCAATTTGGCAAAATATAAGATACTGTATGTTGAAATCGAAGCACTCCTTCTAGTAGAAATTTTGTATACAGGATAAAAAAAAAAAAAGAAAACCATTTCAAAACCACTAGATCCCATGCTCCGCTCAGAATCTAAAATAAAAGATAACAGTAAAAAAAAATAAATTTCCTAACAAAATTGGTAACGTACGATTCTTCTCTTTCTCTCTCTGATTAGGCTTGAACTGGGTCCAGGGGCGTCATTTGCGGTACGCAGGGTATACATTTGGGTAACTAAAATCCTAAATTGTAATTTTTGGCCCGCAAGGCACATCCACATGGCACGCTCGGCCACATCACAAAAAAAATAAAATTTTTATAATTATAATTATATTAATATAATAAATTAATATGTAAATTGACAAGTTCAAAGTTCTCGACAGGTTTCCATGCACTTTTTATAAATACCCTATATTTACTGCTATTTTTCTTAGCTTATCGTGTAACATGTTTTAATTTTTATTTGCAGATTTCTACAAACGCTAGATAACCGGTTTTCTGAGAAAAATCAAAAACGGTTTGATATTTTTAATCCTTTAGCAAAGAATATTTTGATCATACATCAAGTAGTCCGAACTATTTTTGACACATTATGCTTATTTTAAAATAAATGCAAAGAAAATTCCTTCTGAATTCCAATCAGCAAAAATATTAGAGAAAAATAAAAATATTGGTATCACAACAATTACTAACTATTTGTCAAAACTTCCTTCAGCATTTTCTGAAACTCTTAAAGTACTTTAAATCATTTTAACATAACTTTGTACCACTACTTCTAATGAAAGAGTTTTTTCTTCTTTAAAAAGAGTCAAAAACTTTTTGCGCTTAAGTATGAACGATGATAGATTAAATGATTTGATGGTGATTAACGTTGAATCAAGCGAAGCAAATAGTATTGACATACAAAAAGCTTTGATTATGTTTTCTAACGTGAAAAATAAACATGTACTTTTAATTCATTATAATCACCTATGCTTTAATTTATTTTTCTGATTTATTCTGTGCACATCTATTGTATTGCTTCATATTGTTTATTATATTTATTTAATTTGACTGTTGAAGTTTCGATTTGGGAACTTGGGATTTTGGGTATTAAATTTAGACATTTATAGCTTTTGCACTGGTTGCGGCTCGTATTATGTAATTTTACTTTCTTTTAATTGTGTTAATAATTCTTATTATACTACTATAATATTAATAATGTCAAATAAGTCGAGAAAAAAATAATGGTCTGCTCAATATTTATGCGTACCAAAAAAAAAAAATTTAAATGACTCACCTGACTGGGTCACAAGCGCACACATAAATTTTCCGTCCACTTGATGGCATCATCGCTGGCGGTGTGGAGTTCCTCAAAACCTCCTGTGTATTTCATTATTGGGCATTCATTTACTATGTCCCTGACAGAGTGTATTAGCCCACAGCCACATAAAGAGGATTCTGCCATTCCCCATTGGTGTAGCAGGTAAATAAATTTTCCTTGTTCGGTTCTAATGCAGTCTAAGGTGGTCCACAAGGCACGTGGTAAATCGAAAATTGACCTCTCTAAAGTACCACCTTGATCCAATTCGCTAAAAGATGAGATACTATATGTTGAAATCGAAGCACTCCTTCTGGTAGAAATTTTTTATACAGGATAAAAAAAAAATAAAATATTCAGCATTGTAAGATCACTAGCTTCCCCGCTCCGCTCAGAATCTAATAAAAACATAATTCTGACGTAATTGAAGGCCCTGGTGCAATAACCAGGTAAGTGAAAATGTTTTCAAAAATTATATTTTAATATAGAAATATTCTAAATATGAAATAATGACTTAATTTAGAGAATAAAAACAAGATTTTGAATTTGTTAATTGAAGTATAAAGTATTTATTTGTATCTATTATCTCTTAGGTATGGTTTTTATTGAGTAATTTAAAATTTATTTAAGTATTTAAAAAGCTATTTGTGCGTTTATAAATATAGGTAGGTATAGAAAAATAACATAAAAAAAATGAAGCATAATACATGCATATAAATTCAGGCAAGACAAAAATTTTAGTCTGTGCACGTGAACCCACAATAAACGCTAATATTTATTTAGAAAACCAACTTATTTCCCAAGTTTCCAGTTTTAAATACTTGGGAAGTTTAATAACATCAGACGGAAGAAGCTCGCAAGAAATTAAACAAAGAATTGGGCAAGCAAAAACAGCTTTTATCAAAAAAAACAAAATTTTGGTTTCGAAAAAAATTAACAGAGCAACAAAAAAGACATTTCTAAAAACACTTGTGTGGAGTGTCGCATTATACGGCTGCGAGACATGGGTTATTAATGAAAAAGAAAAAACATCCCTTGAAGCATTTGAAATGTGGTGTTGGAGACATATGGAAAAAATAAACTGGACAGAAAGAGTAACAAATGAAGATGTACTGACCCGAGTTGAAGAAACAAGATCCATAATTAAAGCCATAAAGCGACGACGATGGGACACGTTTTACGTCATGACGAAGAATTGAATCATACTATAATAGAAGGTGCAATTGAAGAACGGAAACCACCAGGAAGACCAAGAAACTCGTACATATCTCAACTGAAAAATGACGCAGGGATTAAAAAGACTTGCCGAAGATCTTGATAAGTGGAGAGCGAAGTTAAAAATATTGTAAACCAACCCAATATAGGTTGAAAAAAAATAAAAATAATAACATGTTTTAAGGAGCTAAGGTCCTCATAAACTCGTTTCTACCAATAGGCTATAATCCGAGCCCTTCATATAGAGCTCATCCAGGGCCCCTAACATCCCAGTCCGCCACTGATTCAATTATTCTATTTTTTTCCCAAATTCTGAATGATTCTCATAATTGTAACACAAATCAACAGGACGCCTGGGTAATGTTACACATTTGTCTAGTAATACAGCGTTAACTATCATTGAAAGATTTAGTTTATAAACATACTTAATTTAATCTAAAATTAAGGTAAAACCGGTAATAGAATATAACATTTTATTGATACTTTATGATAGTAAATCGTAAATGTAATGATATTTTTATTCTTTTAATACATCCAATTTAAATTTGATTACATTACATACAAATATTTTTTTTTTAACTATATTATATATTATAAGGAATGACTATGACATAATTAAAAATAAATAACACAATAAACTTGGTGGTATGAAAATAAAAATTAAGAACACTGATCTTAAAATTACACTTAGTAATTAGTAACATTTATAAACAATTTTAATTTAAAATCTGTTGATAAAATGCAATTTAATATCTTCGTTTTTTAACTTTAGGTTCCAATGATCCTAGAAAACAAGTAAATTATAATACATTAATCATAATATGATTTTATGTCTTAAGAAAAAAACTCACTCATATCTTTGAGATTATTAATATCTTCTACGTTTTGACCAATGACTGTAGCAACTACTTTATTTATATCTAAAGCAGATTCCTGAATGTTTGGAGAGTTATTTGATTTTTTTAAGGCTGGCAAAATCTTATTTATATCAATATTTCTTAACAATTCCGGTTTCTTTATTTTCAGTTCATTTATTATTAATCTAGCAGCAGCTTCTACAGCAGTAGTATGTACAATATTTTCATCTGTGTATAACGGGCACCTAATAATCAATCATAAATATATTTTTTTTACAATATAATTTATGATTCAAATATATAACTATAATTTATTAAATAAATTATTGACTATTAACAAAACCCACTTATTTTCCATCACTTCTTGGTGGTAAAAATGGGCATAATTAGAGTCGACGGGCTTTCTACAAATGTAGCACATTTTTTTACCACAGCTGCAAGTCATTTTGTTGCATCCATCTTCTTTAACAAACTTACGTTTGCAATGATAACAAATTCTACATTGAACAATCGATAAAATTAATAAAATATTTATATTATGGAGTTACTATAATTATCTAAGTTACATATATATATTACTACAATACTATATGTTACTACAAATACAACTTGGTCACCTTATGAGTACTTCAGTCATTTTGTTTTCAATCATGGTTCTAACTTCCACTTCTGGAGCTTTTTCTATTTGATCACATCTGTATGGGAAATGACTTTCTTCCCGACATTGCCTAAAGAAATTACATTTTTTATTTACACATATTATGATTGATAGAAGTACTAATAATAAATAATCTTAATAGTTAAAAATTAAAACTGTCATAATTAATTAATCAATAGTTGAAGTTCTATTTTTGTAATTATTTAGAAGAAGAAATTCAGAAAATTTTCCTTCAAACCACTTAATTCAAAATAATATTCATTGTTGACTTTAGAAAAATGTAGATGGTCGGGATTTAAAATATTCATACTACCTATATTATACATATTTCATCGTCTACCCAGTGGCGCACATTGGAGGGTTCAAGGGTAGCGACTGCTACCCCTGAATTTTTGGTAGGTGGGTAGGTGGACCCTCTGGCTCCAAAATGTTTACATCATGAAAATTCTACTACGGATAAAAATATTGAAAATAAACTATTGAATAGTTATAAGCTATATTTTAGTCTATAGTCTATTAGCTAATATAGAGGTAACCGAATCAATTTGCTACATCTATTTATTTTTGAGTGTACACCAATGCGTCTACAAATTGCCTATACTGGGTGATTCTTTTATCAAACAACACTCATTATTTCAAAAAGTGTAAATTTTTTTGAAGATATTTTTTTACATAGTTTCAAGTCTCTAATAAAATAACGTTTTTATTAAAAAATTATATTTTTAATTATTTTTTATCCTTATAATTTTTTAAGTTTTTTACTTTGTTGAATGACAACATAGGGTTTTAATTTTATATTCTAAAGTAGAATATTTTTCTTAGTATTTTGATACATGAAAATTGAATTTGGGGCGAGTAGTTTATGAGTTATAAGTATTTAAAGTTTAGACGAGCGGAGTGGAGTGGTTCGGGGTTACCCCGCGAAATGTTTGTCCACTTCACCGCTCGTCTAAACTTTAAATACTTATAACTCATAAACTACTAGCCCCAAATTCAATTTTTATGTATCAAAATACTAAGAAAAATATTCTACTTTAGAATATAAAATTAAAATTCTATGTTGTCATTCAAAAAAGTAAAAAACGTAAAAAATTATAAGGATAAAAAATATTTAAAAATATAATTTTTTAATAAAAACGTTGTTTTATACGCGACTTGAAACTATGTAAAAAAATATTTTAAAAAAAATTTACACTTTTTGAAATAATGAGTGTTGTTTGATAAAAGAATCACCCAGTATAGTATCATAAATACTATATAGATAGATACAATTATCCTGTTCCTGATTATTAGTTTCCAAATTATGAACCTCTAAAATGACAAAAATATTCTGTGTCTAGAAGCCGAGACACTGCAGGGAAAACACACCTAATAATTTGTCCCCACATTACAACAATAATACTAAAACACTTCCAAAAAAAAAAAATACCTTCTTCAGTACCTAATAATATACAATTTATTAGCGGTCGTCAATAGGTGGTCCACAGAAAAATTTGAACGTTATTTGCAATATTATTTTATTAACCTTCCAGCGGGCACGTATTGTATAATCACTATGTATTAAAGTATTGCAATATATTGCTATGTAGGTTTGGTAAACGGCAAATAAGAATAAACACTTCATAATGCAATCAACATTATCGCATTATCAACCTTATATTCATAGACTCTACAAGACTTATCAGCAGGGTTTAAAAAACCCAACCCGGTTGGGTTTAAATGGGTTTTAATGGGTTTTAAAAATATTCAAATGAATGCTGTTTCCTGACACTTTTTTATTAGGGAAGTTCCCTACAAACCTAACCTATAAAACATAAATGTACCATTTTAAATTGTTTTGAACAAGATATACATAATCGTATATCTTTAATCGTGGTTTTGACCAGTGTAAATATTATAATAATATAATAATGTATTATTATATAATATATTCCCATCTTCATTCTACGGTTGGTCACTCTTGACTGTCGAAGTAAAATTAATTTATGAGTTTATAATTAATTAAGAAATGTAAAATGATAATATTTAATGTTTTTGCTTACATTTTTATTGTTACTAAAAAGTAATAAAAAATAAATATGCAGTTTGAAGTTTGTTATTTTTTCGTTTGTTGGTTTTTTTTACTGGGTTTTTTTTCTGGGTTTTTAACTGGGTTTTTTTGTTGGGTCCAGTACTTTGAACCCTGCTTATCAGTGGAACGGTAACTATGTAAAAAGCTATTATAAGCTATACGTGGTTCGTAGAATTTAGTGTCCCATAGGAGTGCTCAGAATTTTGGGTAGGAGAGGGGGGGGGAATTAAATTTTTTTTTTAAAACAAAATATTTGTTAAATTTAGCACCAACGCAAATTTTTAAATTTTTTTTTTTTAATTAATACAATCAGTTAAGAATGGTGCAAAAATAAATTGGCAGAAATCATTAATTTTTATGGTATTGCTTTACGAAGAGTTCACGATATTTGGTATTTTATGCTAACAAATTTTCAATTTTTTTATTTTGAAACCTAAGAAAATACTTAAAAAAAAAATTTTACAATATATATTTTGACACTCACCTGTGGTGGTTTTACATAACAAGTCGAGAAATGTTTTCGATTTAAATTGTCCGAGCAAGTGACAACACTGGGTATATTAAAATTTCAAAAATGTTAATTAGCTATAACTTTAAAATAAGTCTGGCTGCCAAATTCAGACTTCCCCATCGTTTTCAGCATGTTTGACACAGATATGCTTTAATGCATAGGTATATTAAAACAAAAAATAATTGTAAAAAAGGGTTGTTCAGTAAAATAGAAAAGTTCCAAACTCACGTTAAATATTGAGTTGTTCAAATGCGAGGTAAAATACCAAAAATTGTGAACTATGTAAAGCTATAACTTAAAAACTAATGGCTTTCGGCAATTAATTTTTGCAACATCGTTTTTATTAACTCGTTGTAATATAGGTTTCTAAAAATAAAATTTAAAAATTAGTTTGGGTGCTAAGCTAGATTTTTTCCCAATTAATTATTATAATTATATGTTAGTACCTACATCTATACTAATATTATAAAGAGGAAAGATTTGTTTGTTTGTAACGAATAAACTCAAAACTACAGAACAGATTTCTAAAATTCCTTTACCAGAGAAAGCTACATTCTTTGTGAATGGTGATTGGCATAAATTTAGTCCGATAAAGTTAGTAAATAATTAAAATAAACGTGTAAATTATACACCTATATACGCCACGGTGGCCGGTGGGTTTCAAGCTACCTGCAACCTGACCTTATTTCTTTTATGTGTGTTTTATCGGCGTGTAGATAAGAATTAGGATAGAAATTAGTATTTATTTGTTATTGGTTACCATTAGTTGTACGGGTAGATCAGGTACAGCCTTGCTGCAACAAATCAAATTTTCGAACATCCCTTTGTCTGCAATCCTACATAGTCGGATTGCCTACCAACTCTGGTTGAGTTACACTCAAGGAGTTGAACACTCATAATTTTTTTAAGAATTGCCATTTTTTATGCGCAACAAAGTGCACGGGATTGGCTAGTATATTATATTTGTGAAGTAACCAGGGGGGGGGGTTGAAGTTTGAACCCCTAAACCCCCCATTGAGCATGCCCATGAATGGTCCACGAGGTCCAAAAGGTCGGCAACCACTTATTTGGATTATTTTGTATGTAATTTGGCTCTAAATTATTACACAATAAAATTATGCTCTTACCTGCAAGTTTCTTTTTTGCATTCAGGATTCAAGCAGTTAATAATTTTGAGATCAGGAGACAAAATAACAGAGTAATCACAAAATGCACATGTTTCAAGTCCTTCAATATCGGCTGCTTTAATTTCTTGTGCTTGCTTCAACCTCATTATACGTTGATACAGTTTGTCATCAACAATATTCTGAAAATATAAAAATTGAAGTCAATCAAACTATCAACTGAGCAATAAAAAATAAATACTTACTTTTATCATTGTTAAATTAAATTCTTCATCACAATCAGCAAAGCATTTAATATCTACCTTACTTCCACCAACAGCAACTTCTGTACCTCTAAAAAAATATAAAAAATAATTTTGTTCAAGAATTCTAATGATATACAATATTTGGCTGTTTAATAAAAATGTAATTATTTACTTTTTTATACATGCTGCACAAAATATATGTCCAGCTGGACAGGAAAAAACTTCACTGGTTAATAGTTCATTATCGAAACAGCATTCACATGTGTTTAACTTACCAATAGACTTAGCCTATCAACATAATTTAAATATCACAGCAAAGACATTTTTAAGGATATTATATTATTTTAAATAATTTACTTGTTCAACTTGAATTTTATGTACAGTTTTTACAGACTCTATATGATTCAGAATTTCATCTTTATGATCAAGGTATGCTATCTATAATAATTATAAATTACTTGATAATAGTACTAAAAACACCAATAAAATAATTTTATAATTACTTCTTTTAAAAATTCAATATTTTCTGTGTTCTTGTAATTGACCATAAGGCGAATACTTAATGATTTTCTTTTAGTCTTTAAATAAACTGGTGCAAGATCAGCTTGTAAAGATTCAACGGTATTTGTTAAATTGTATTTATTTTTGAGCAACTCAGTGCGGAGCTTTGCCATTGAAACAAGATTATACCTGATAAAAAAAAAAAATTATGACCAAGCTGAGTATTGAGTACAATCAAAATTTTTACAAGTAAAACTTACCTATCACTTAAATAAGACATTGATTCATCATAATGTGTGGATGCTGCATTCAGTTTTATATTTTTGAAGTAATTAACTGGATCAGGGCACATCTTTAAAAACTCTTGAACTGTGAAACCGTTTCTTAAATTCTTTACAATAGCCAAATGATTAACATGTTCATTGTACTCTTTTAGTTTAGGATAGCTTCTTTTATTTGTAGTAATTTGATCAATGAATTCATCTAGTTTATCGTCATTATTTGAATAAAATTCTCCAGCTAAATCCAAGTAAATTGGGTCGGCATCTGGTATAATATCTTTTAAATTTTTAGTCAATTGTACTGCGTCAGGAGATATGATTAATTTGTTTTCATGTTGTATTTTAAGAAGAGTTGCTTCGAAGTTATTCGTTGTTATATTAAGTTGGACAAGCAAATACAAACGGCTTATATCACTATGAATATCCAGTGCTTTAATAACATTTGACATATATCTTTTGTACATAGTTTGCCAGCCATAATTTTGAAACTGTACAACGACATCACATTCTGCTAGTGTAAGTTTTCCGTCAAATATTGTTTCAACTCTAGCCTAGAAAAACAATTAATATAAGTTATTGTGCATACTTTATATTTTGTAAAACATATTTCAAACATTCTTTGAATACATGAATACTAAATTGACTATATTACAACTAGGGGTCTCCACTAAATGTGTAAGCAATTACACGGATACACTTGTTTTTATTTGAATGGGGTTTGGCATTAATTCACAACACATAATACATTGATTTAAAATACTTCACCAAGCATAATAAATTATGTTATCTGTTTTATTAACTCAGATTTTAATAAAAACTACTTAACAATATTTGTTTAATTTTTACTATTAAAAGACCAGAATAAAATCTGTAATATAAGTTAATCATATCAATAGTATCTAAAGTAGGTGCCTCCAACTGAATATAAAGACGGTGAAGCAATTTAAAAGCATGAAAAATCAATAGGAAATTGGAGGAAAAGTTTAATACCATTAAATAAACTTTTGTTAGTAGTACATAATTATGCAAGGTTTACATCCAAGTTGTTTGTTGCTAACTGGGAACTTAAATGGGGATAGGGATTAAAATTAAAATGGTGCAATAGTATATTGTAATGAAAATATCTGTTAGTACCTACTATTATTACAAACATTGGTGGGTTTGCGTTAAAATTAGATATTTTTTGTAGTCTAAATTAATTAAAATGAAATTATGTTATTATAGTAATTACCTACTTGATAAAAAAAATTAATACTATCATTCCTCGACTAATAGTTGGTTGTCGCGAAACAACGTAATTAACGTAACGGGGATGTTACGCTTTTCCAAAACAAAGGTCTGATATTACTTCGATTTCTAAACTAAATTTTACCAGTTTACAATTTTTCAAAAAACGCAGCATTCAACTTACCATTGTCGGACGGATCGAATTCAACAGATTTGGTATCAAATCTCAAATTCGTGTAGCGTGTCCGTACACCGCAATATTACAGTATTTGGCAGTTGGCAGATGAGCAATTCGCAGATAACATTGAATACAGGACATCGACAGACACGTCAGGAAAGATAATTAATAGAGGTGTTTGGCCGTAGGAACACACACACGACTACCGTCGATTAAGATTGAATTCAAATCACTAACAACCGTCGTCGGCGATTGACATCGTTATAATATTGTTGTGTAACGTCAAAACATAGGTACCTATAAAAGTATCATTTATATATACATAATTAAAACGTAACTGTGTGAAAATAAAATGTTTATAAATCTATAACATATTATAATATAAAATATTATTAACACATACGGTCACGACTAACCTGCCAAGATAAATGCGCGTACGGAGGCAAATGGTAGTAAATGGGTAGGAGGTGAATATTGTACGATAAAAATATAATAACAAACGTTTATTTATATTATACAACAACTGCATTAGTACGTTATTTTGTTATATTATTACTTGCTACATGTAAGAACCAACATGGTGTATTGTATTATAATTATTATCGTACGACGTACAAAAAATACAAAAATATTCACTTTTAGTTGTTCTACCTATATGGTTTTAGTGCACATGTTTTTCCCTTATCAAAAGTAAGACATTTTAATATTTCACCGATCACACAGACTGAATACGATAACCGATTACAGGAATAAACTGATTACCGAGAAAACTAGCGAGCTCTAATTGTCCTTGTGGACAGTGGTAGATGGTGGTAGTGCGGTCACAGAATTATTTTGTGGTGTGGTCTTGTCATAGAAATATAGAATATTATAGATATTATTGTTCTATGCTATTAATTATTATAGAATATTAGAATGGGTCTGGTCCTATTCTACAGTTCTACCATAGAACAATATAGAAGCGAAACCCGATCAGCTGATTGGGGTCTTTGTTACCTATGATCGAAGTCTGAACCAACGAAAAACACGAAAATGGTTCCACGACGAGCGTCTCGGGGGCCAAATTGCTCGACCAATCAGAATCGTTCACATTTGTTATTGTAGTAAGCAAGTTACTACGTAACATTAAAATCATATCATTCCAATTAGGTACATATTTAGCATAACATACTGTAGATAGGTGTAATAATCAGATATATCAAACAAAAACCACTTACCTTTTCGATTGTACTTAATCAAAAAGACCAGGGGGAGTATAATTCCCAAAACGAAAGCATAAACAAATTTAAGATTAAACAATTGTAGGCTCGAGGGGAAACGATATTCAAAATAATACCACAACAGATTAGCACGACTTTACAATCATGTACGAATAATCTCGTAGAATAGGCGGATGTGATATTTGCAATAGGGTTATATGACAGATATTCGATATAAAAAAGTAGAGTGATTTATTATAATGAAATTAGCAGTTAATAAATTAACTATCAGTACATTATGGTAATACGCAGAATAGATTAGGAATTTCGCAAGTGCGTGGGCTAGGTCGATGGCCACATAGACCACATCCGTAGATACAGTATCACTAGGCAAGGGAAGCGCGGACCGGACTATAAGAGGGACCCCGAAATGGCCTGTATTCAGATTTCAGACGTGTTCACTCCACTGAACTGAAAGCACCTTCACGACACTTTGTACAACATAATCGTAATTTGGACTCTGCACAAATTATTGAAGAACATTATAATAAAACCACATCTGTCTACACTTTATTTCAACAACTACCTTATCATCATCAGCGAAACGGTCTAGCTACCTGCACCGTTAATATTATACAAGTAGTCCTCTGGACTACCAGAATATTACATTATCACTATTTGTGAAAATCACGTCTCTTATTATCCTTTATAAAAATTATAATGTGATAATATAATAATCATCAATCATACAGGTTAATGATGGGTACTTTCAATTCATTTTAGTGAACTAATTCATGTGATTCAGCTCATTAAAATGAATCGATTCACTGAATCAATTCAATGATTCAGTGATTCAATGATATTTTAATGAGCTGAATCACATGAACTAGTTCACTAAAATGAATTGAAAGTACCCATCACTATTCAATGTTAAGATCTAGAGATAGTTAAAGTGATAATGGGAACAATTATTTTAAAGTCTCAACGATTTATAAATGTGACTAATATTTTAAACCTAAGGGCTAATAATTATTTATATTTATATATAAAATCAAATTGACAAACGTAAAGTATAATATTAAATGAAAAATGAATTACTGTCACTGCATTATTTATGTGTTAATTTATATTTATTTACATTGAAAATTCAAAATTCAAAACATAAAATGTTTAATATGTTGCGGCTTTTTCCCTTTAATTAATTATAAATGAGATTGAAGACAGAATATCTTTTTGTAAATTTATTTGGAAAATATACAATACCAGTTTTGCAACAATTGTTTATATTTTTCATTTACAAAATTAGTTAGTACTATAGTAGGTACTAGAGTACTATAATATAATATAGTTACATATTATTTTGAACCCTAATTATGTCATAAATTTTCTGGTCTTATCTTAATAGCATCAATGACAATAGATCAGTGCCGTAACTAGGCTACTTGAGGCCTGTGTGCAAAACCAAAATATTGAGGCTTCTTATTATATTTTTCAATACACACGTCAAAAACTTTTTTTAAAGTCAGCAGACTAAAATTCGGGCTTAAACAAAAAAAATTTTTAATTTAAAATAATCTATAATTTTAAAACAATTTCTCAAGGCTATAACTAACTCAAAAAAGTAAAAATTTTCCAAAATGTAATTTATTGAAAATATTAATATAAATATTTGCTGAAAACTTCAATGGTCTACGGTTATTAGTTTTCGAGTTATACCAAAAAATACAATTTTTGGTTTTAGGTAAAAATGATAATTTTTTTTTTTAGTGACGCTTTGTTATATCTAAAACTAAAAATTTCAGTCTCGATCTCCAAAAAGTACCAACTAGATTCACTTTTCCAACAGAAAAAATCTGATCTCGAAATTCGGAATATTTTTACTACCCAATGTTGATGACCGACAGAAATGAAAAAAATTATACACGTCTTGTAAAATCAATACATTTGTTCGTTCCTCTCAAAATCTAAAAACTGTGATCACGACTCCATGCTATATAAAAAAAATGAAATACATTGGTTTCGTTTCCAAATCAATAATAAATAATTTATATATTTTAATAATTTTATATTAGTTTAATATTAGTCTTTAGATCTTTTGAGGCCCTTCGATATATTATGAGACCCGAGGCCTGTGTGCGGTGCACACTTTGCACACCCGGTTTTTACGGCACTGCAATAGATGCACCCAAAGGTCAATGAACTGTTAACTGGTTTTAATAGTATGAACTTTGAAAGTGGTAAAAGTGATCTAAATTGATGGGTCTACATCTCGGTCTACATTGTCTACACTTTTTTCTGTTCTATTATTTTTTGTACTTTGTCTTACCGGTGTTTCATACTTAATATATATTTTGAATTAATATATTAATATGGAAGAATTTGGATCCAGTAACATGGAAGAGCTAAAGTGCATGGGGTGTGTGTGTAATAAATATTTTAGTTATAAAAGAACCTTGAAGCTACTGTAGAAAACCAGTTTGTTTTTAAGTAATAATGTACAACCAATAGTCAGGTATGGATTCATAATTTAATTTAATTTTTACCCTAGAACTACAGAAAAAAGAAAATAAAGTATGAGTATATAATATATAACAAATTTGTTTTTGTCCATTATGTTTTTATGTTACAATGTATTTTAAGGTTTTTTATATTATAAACGGTTGGTATTGGGAGAAGTACAGAACATACATACTTACCACGATTATACTCACCAATAATATATTTAAAATATTTTAATATCCATGTGCTTTTTTTACTATGATTTATTTTTATATTTTATTTACTTTAGGTTGACAATATTATATAAAACGACCTTTTTTATAGCTCAGGACTCACACAGTAACACTTGTCACTTACTCACTTATGCTTTATGATATCTATTGGTCTGTAAAAATGTAGCTTTTTTATACGCTGTGTCTAGATACCCGGGTGCCCGTGAGTGATATGAGAAAATGGTAAGAGTGGTTATACGACGGTTACCAACTTGAGTTGGTATTGCACAACAAGTCGTGGGATATTTTCGATTTGCGGAGCAGAGCGACGGCGCCGAGGAGCGTAGCGACGAGTGCCGCTAGCATGGCATCACTGTAAATGATTTACGATTGTTTTTTCAAGTTTGCCACTCTGTGGGACCTTTGCCGGGTATTGAATATAATATACACGGATGGGTCCGTGTATGTAAAGCGTACACGGGCACCCGGGTACCTAGACACAGCGGTTTTTATATATATTATTTATTATCTATGATCACAAAGTATGATTTTCACAAATAGTGGTAACAAATATGAACTGAATCTGATTGGAATTTTGGAATTTTGCCCCCCCGAAACGCTCGTGTTCCACGAACCAACATGTTAGACCCATGGTTACCAATATTATGAAAACGATTCCAAGACTGGCGGGATAAGCGACGCGGGGTCGGCTTGTTTACCATTCCCTATTTCAAGTATGCCACGCCCCCTGGAGACCGTGTTCAAGGCCGCAATCGCCTGATTCGGCCAACACACGGAGTTTCGTACCCCTGGTTCTACCTGACTATGCTTTGTTTGTGTACATATTTTTTTTTTTATAGTACATTCTTTAGGACTTAGTTTATTGTTGTGGAAATAATGGAATTTATAGTAATGTACATCGGTGGCGATGAAAGATACAAATATGAGGCATACGAAAGATTCAAAGATGTAACACAGTGATCGCCATGATAAAGTAAATATCATTTAAAGTTAATTTCATAATAATTTTTAATTTTATATCAAAGCAGATTTACTTTAATAATATGGTGGCTGCCTCAAATCTCAAATACAGCAATTT